GGAGGAGGGAGGGCAATAGTTACAAGCAGCTCTCCAGCAGGATTGTCAGAGGACTGAAATGTCGCCTCTTGGCATCACAGTTGTATATTCACATGAACAGCCTGGGCAGGGAGGGACATGGAAAACCGGAAACAGGCACAATGAAGAAAATGCCCCAAATTCCAATTCATAAATACAAACTGTTCACTTTCAAGCGAATATGCATAGAGTTTGAAAACGGCAGCAAGAATCATCATGTATTTTGTTTTGTCTTGAAATCCATTTTTCCCAAATCATAATGCTTATGGAAATTTTCATGACTTTATTTGTATATATTTACTCTCTACATTTATTCTACTCCATGCAAATCGGTAATAATTCACCGATATGTATACCTTTCTCAGAGTAATACAGTTTCTCCTCAAAAATATGCTGTGAGGTAGAGTCAGCATTATACCCATTTTACAGGTAAAAAAACCAGTGCTCAGGTGTTCGGCCCACTCCTGAACCAATCACCTGAGCCAGGAAAATACCATTGCTCTGATTGCCCGTAACTCAAAAGTTATAGCCCCCTCTGGGCATGAAGACTGAATCAGCTCCACTGAAAACTGAGAATGAAGAGGGCTGGCCCCTGAGGAAAAGCAAGAGATTTGCCGGAGAAGAATGGACAGTGGGCAGTAAACCAATGGATGGCCACTACCCTCAACCATGGCACCTAGTTATTCATTCTGTCTTGTACCAGGGTTGGCTGTTTTCATGTGTAGCTGCCCCCGGCTTGAGGACCCCTGAGAAAAAGGACTGTTTGTTATCATTGTATCCCCTGCAGAACCCAAGACAATCCTCTGAATATAGTACATGCTCAATAAATGTTTCTTCACATAAATGAATTCATTAAACTAGCTTAAATTAGTTCTTCTTTTGCTCATTTTAAGTTCTGTGGTGTCTCTCTTTTTGTTACATGAAAATACACAAAGTTTCAAACACACACCTTTTAACACCTTAAAAGACAGGGTTCCAACAGCAAAGGCAGTTAAGTTATCTTCATAATGTCTACATATATTGACTCTCCTCTAAAACCATTCTCTCAGCTAATTTTACACGGGTGAGAAAGAGAGCACGATTCTGTGTTGGCCCTCTAAGCACTTCACTTAGCTGCTCTGTTTTTGTTCAGCAAATGTTGCATTCGCTGAAAATTCAAGTGCATGCGACTCATGCAGCCTTTCACAAGGTATCATTATGCGGTTGTCATCACTGGGTTTCCCTGCAGTGTAGAAATGTCCTTAGTCTACCTGAGTGATTTAATTTCCATCTCCATGGCCTTTCTCGAGGACCCCCTCAAATCCTATCATCTCAAATGTGGCATTCTCTCCTCCCTCCTGGACACAGCCATCCAGCTAGAGACTTTGCCCGGCCTTGCTTGCAGATGTGGCCACGCGACTAAGTTCCTACCAAGTGATGGAGCGACGTGTGCAACTTCCAGATGTCTTCTTAAAGAGGTCCGAACTCTGACTTAGAATAAGGAGGGCCTTGATGGGGGATATAAACGAGACAGGTTTGGCCAGGTGAAGGTAACTTTAAATTGAGTGACGGGCACATGGGGATGTATTATACTACGTTATCCCTACATTTGTGTATGTTTGAGACTTTCTATTGAAAAATAAATGAAATGGTGCTCACCCCAAGTTGTGCTCCCTCCTTTCTCCTTACAGGCTGGACATAGGGAATGACAATCTGGAAAGCACATGCTGAGGATGGGAGAGCCAGTCCACCAGCCTGGGTCCCTGAGTGACTTCCTGGAGCAGGGCTTGTCCATCTGCCTTCGAGAGTTCCTGAAAGAGAAGTTGATTTCTCACGCACTTGAGCCATTGCCTTTTGGGGTCTCTTTGTTACAGTGTTCCCCATGGAATTTCAGCTCCCTATTTGCTTACACTCTATTACAAACTGTCTCCTTTATGCCAACAGACAGTATCATCTCACCTGCCTTCAACATTCCTTTATTTTTCACTTTTTAAAAGTCTGCTGGTATTAGAACTCGACAAATGTTTCTTATTGTTACTTTTTTTGTTCCTCTAGAAGTCAGGCTGAACTACAGGCTACACAAATACCTAGACTGCACCAAGACAACCTTAAATTAAATTGCTCACAGTACAACTCACTGTCAAAATCCTTACAAAAATGTCACTTCTGAGTTTGGAGGTCTACTATTTAACATAGCAATGGACAAGCTTGATTCAGAAAAGAACCCTAAGAAAGTTTGGGGGGTTAAAATTAGACTCTTTTGGTGTTTTTTAGGAGATTTTAGTAAAGCTTTAAATTACTCTTTAACTACTTTTTAAAAGTCAGACTGGGTTTCAGGTTTGCACGGGGTTCTGTGACATAGCAACATATGTTTGGAGAAACCTGTCCATATAGTCAAATGTTTCAACTTAATCATCCACCAATTATTGAATGTCACTCTACTATATAAACACTGCACTAGGCACAGTCTCTTATCAGAAACAAGTTGATCAAAAGAAACACTACACCACAATATTTTAATGAGTGGTCTCTTTGATCAGTGAAAAGCATAATCTCGAGCAAAGATTTCTGACTGCCATGTAGACTTCAAGAATGGACAATTATATTACCATTTCAAGGTCTACCGCCAAAGAGGAATGGGAAATGCGGCACTGAAACAAANGTAGACTTCAAGAATGGACAATTATATTACCATTTCAAGGTCTACCGCCAAAGAGGAATGGGAAATGCGGCACTGAAACAGAGCGCCCTCAGTCACCCTCAGGACAACCGAAGCTTCCAAGTTCAAGGAGACAAACACCTCTGAATTGCCTACTGCCATTCTCTCTAAGCTCTTCTGCTACTTTTGCTGGTTGTGCCACAGGAAAGGGACTTTAAGAAGGGTCTGCAGGCCTTTTGTCTACCTTATGACAGTAATTCATCAACTCTAGAATGTGCTCCATATTAAACTGTGGGCTGGAGCTGGGTGGAGTGTGGGGGGAGTCAGAGATGAAATGCAGTCCTCACCCTCCAGGGGTGACTCCCTGTGGAGGGGGACAGGCAGGTGACCAACCATGCAGGGGGATGAATGGTGCCATAAGGTACATGGGGACATAGGTGTGTCCTGCTCCAGAAACACTATGAAAGGGCACCTGACTTATGGTGGGTGTGGTCAGAGTGGCATCATCTCACGGGAGACACTTCATCAGTCTGAATAACTAAAGGGAATTAGTCAAGCAAGAAGGCATTGGGAAGGGGAAAGGAAAAGACCCTCCCAAGCAGAGGGAACACACTGTGATTTCATTACCACCTCACCCCTGCCCTCAGGGTGTCAATGAAGAAACAAACTCCAGCAGGGAGAGGGGTGTGCTCCAGGCCACTCATCTTGTAAGCAGTGAAACAGGTTTAAACTTAGCACCATCCTCCCTGCCTCCTATAGAACCTGGTCTCTGAAGGGGAGGCCTTCTCTCTTAGTGATATCCACACCTTCCCTTGAACCCTGGCCTCAAGGACACCTGAGGTGAATGCAAGTGTCCCTTAATCATTCTGGGAAGGAATCCAAAGTATTATAAATCCGAAAGATCATAGAGTTTTAGATTCTCTTCTTCTAATCAGTTTAAGAAAACTGCATACAGCAACCTCCCCCCACACACACACAATTAAGGACTCGGTCTACATTAACATATGAAAGGCACTGAGAAGTCCTGCAGAAAAATTAATGTTAAACTTTGTTTAACTCAATGTGTCTAAAATGTTATTGACCATGAAAGCCTCTACCCGACCTCCCTTTTTTTAGTAACACTTATTAACACCTGTAAAGACATTCTGTATTCAAGCTTCTTACCATACTGATGAGGAAACTGCAGTCAGGGGAGGGTGGGAGCTGCCTTTGGGTCTGCGCTAGGCACAGAGCCAGAACCAATGTACCAGACTTCCTTCCAGTCAACACTCTCTCCAGGAAATCACACTTCAATATGTCCAGTCCATAGCTCTGATATATAAACAGTACACACAGCACATGAGTTGATAACCTTTGTAATTGTCAACTTAAAAATTACCCTTTTAAAAAATACAAAGAAATCCCTAGGTGCGAGCTGAGATGGTGTATACAAATTTGAAGCGTGTTTATATGCACTATTAATCGCCCTTGTCATGGTTTATACTAGTTATCCAAGTCTTGCTGATATAGATTGTTTATCTTCACAGCCTTCCCACTAAAATAATAATACCAAGAGCAACTACCAGCACTCTTTTTGCTCTCAATGTGAAGGATCACATTAATATACTGATGCAATTTCTAGTGTTTATCTTCATGCATTCATTCAAATGGAACCCCAGCTCAAGAAATCACTCGTTAACAAGATAATCACAAAACAAATCTTTGTACCAAGTCCTTCATTGCTAGATCAAATCCCATTGTCACTAACTAAAAAAATAAAAATAAAAAAATCTTTACTTTGGAATTTGGTTGGGATCAAGACAATAAAAGGGAGGGTATGGAAATGTCTAATCCTCCCCCCAGAGAGCTGGAAATCTTTTTTGTTTTTGCAAAGATTTGTATTGTAACAATATTTGTTATATGAAAATTTAAGTTGTGCTTCTTTGGAATTTTTTAAAAGGTAATATACAAAGTAAAAAACATATTTCAAGAGTGGTCAGTCCCCAACTCTGAAGAGTACTTACGAGTAATAACATATTAGGAGAGGTCAGTCGGGCTCTCCGTCTGGAAAGCTAAATGTTCCGTGCCTGTATCCTGCATTTGTTACCAAAGCCTTCTTTATCAGCAGGGGGAGGCAAATGATACCCTGAAAGTGTTTTAAACATGCAACTTCGCTTATCTGCGTGTATTAATGATCCTTATGGCAGCTGTTATATTAACCTTATCGCATGGCGCAGCAGTGGGGGGAACCTATTATAAAAGGAAGGAAAAGAAAAAGCATTTAGTTTCATCTTTTTTTTCAACCTAGCAATTTTCTGATTGTCAAGTGGGGGGAGTGAAAGTTAGATTTTGACTAGGCTTTTTTAGAATCTCAGAGAAGAAACTAGACATTTCCCAATGGGTGAGTCATTGACCATCACACACGGCTAAGAGGACACAGATTAGATTATTGATGAAACGCTCATTATGTGAGTTCTGGAATCCGGGGGTCCACAGAGGAGCTCTGACCCTGGGACAGTGAGTGGCTCCCGAGAAAGCCAGCCTCTCCTTCAAGGCTCTGAATTGCTCATTTGTAGCTATGACATTACAAGAAATGCCATTTGCCCCTCATAAGACTTCTGTTTCCTTCTTCATACAATCTCTGGGCTCACAAAGAGGAAACTCAAAGGCTCCGTCTTTTAATCCCTTTGAACGTTGACAACAATACCCAAGCTGACCCTGAGCCCCTTCCCTTCCCACTCCCTCCAGGTGTTTGAGAAGCCGCCTAACTTTGTGACCGAAATGAATGTTTTCATTCAGCCGCAAAGGCTTGCGCTCCACGCGCACCAGCCGAGGGAGCACGGGCCCCCTCCATTCCTTCAGCCAGGTAATAGCCTCCTCCCTTTTTCTCTTTTCTTTTTTTCATTATGCCTTTAATGCAGAGCAGGGCTACTGATTACAAAGAGGCAGTTTGACTCCAGCAATAGGTCTTCCTCACTAATCCTTACTGTCATGGAAATTCCAGCTGCTGCAAGAATGAGGCTCAATCCATATTTGCCAGCTCTAATATGAAATCTGTCAGAGCCCAAATTAATGAGTTCCAAATTCCTTACATCACGATAACAGGTTAAGACTGGTCAATTAATTACATAAATCCTTCCCGATTCATTGTGCGTTTGCAGCCCAGATTGTGTCTTACATTACTCCACGACACAAGGCCTTTTGGCTCCTGTTGTTCCACAGAAAGGCCCCATTTAAGTGGAGGCTGCCTGCCACGGCAAAATGTTAAATGTCACACGTTAAATTTGCACTTTTCTGTAATTGCTTTTGTTAAAAAAAAAAAAAAAAAAAAA